AAGGGCAGCAGCATCCCAGCTCCAGGCGGATAGTGCCGTTGTCCCAGTTGGAGGGAAGATGGACATTTGAATTTTATGTGAAAGCTCCTGATTTTTCTTTTTCTTTTCTTAGTACTGAGGATTGCACCCCGGGGTGCTTTACCACCGTGCTACAGCACCACCCTTTTCCGTTTTTATTTATTTATTTTTAATTTTATTTATTTATTTATACCTTTGGGGTTTTTAAATTTTTAAATTTTTCTTTGTAGTTTGTAGGTGAACACCATGTCTTTATTTCACTTGTTTAGTTATTTGTTTAATRCGGCGCTGAGGATCGAACCCAGTGCCTCACACGTGCTAGGCAAGTGCTCTGCCACCGAGCCCCAGCCCRGCCCCTGTTTTATTTTTATTTTGAGATAGGCTCTCACGGAGTTGCCAAGGCTGGCCTTCAACTTCTGCCTCCTGCCTCAGCCTCCCAATTTGGGCACTTTGGATTTGGGGATTAGGAAATCTCAATCTTTCTGGTTACTAGTCCATACAAATATTAAAAAATCTGAAAAACTCCCAAATCTGAGACACCCCTAGGCCCCAGCACTTCAGATCAGAGATGCTGAAGCTATCCGCCACTTAACCTCCAGCACGGCCCTGGGCCCTGGGTTGGAGTCCCAGCAGGGCCCACACATCACACAGTCAGTCCATTCATGAACCACGAGCTCAGCCCTGAGAGCGGGAGTTTGGTGCTAGGAGGAGACTGAGCCCTCCGGCCCTGGCCAGCTCTCTCCCGCACACCGAGCCAGGACTGCCGACAGGTCCTCGAGGCACAGCCTGGCGGGCCATCTAGTGTCTGCGTGGCTGAGGCACAGCAGCCTGGGGTGAGCTGGAGGCAGAGGGGCCGATGCCGGTCGTGTAGTAGGCGCTTCATAAACGTTGCTGACATGAATAAACGAATGTGCGGTGCAGCCAGGGAGGCCGCTGGGCCAGGGAGCGCCCTGCACTGGACGAGGGGCGCACCTGGGTGCTTGGAGGACAGTGTCAGGGGGCCCGTCTGTCCCTCCAGATCCTCGGGCTGCCCTTCCAGCCCCTGCTCTGTGCCCCAGAACACTGACCTCCAGGGACGATGGGTGACATCCACTGGCTACTGTGCTGGCCCAGGGGGGTTGGGTCCTGAGGGACCCGGTGGCTGGAGGTGGGGCCAGCCGTGTGCTGGTGGGTGTCCAGGAGCCACCTCGGGAGGAAAGGCCTGGTGGTGGTGACCCAGCTTCCCTGGTGTGTGCTTCTGCCACAGCGTGGGCATGGCGTCCTGACGGGCCTGGGTGCCGCCAGGCTGGGGTGTCCCCAGGCTGGTGTGTCCCCAGGCTGGTGTGTCCCCTGGGCCATGGTGGAAACAGGGGTCCTGCTGGCGTCGGGTGTCTCTGGAGCCGTGTGCTCACAGGAGCCGGTGCCCCTCTGAGCTCAGACCTTGGTGGAGGGACCTCGTGGGACTAGGGGCCCCTGCCTGGCCCCAGCCTGAGGTGTGGCGAGGCTCAGTGACAGTCACCATCGTGACCACCACCTGGGCCCCTGCGCTCTGCCCTGGGCCGGRTGACCAGGCTCTGCAGTCTGGCTGGGTGCGGATGTCTGGATGGAGGCCTTCTGGGGTGGCCACTGGCTCTGAGGTGGTGGCCAGCGGGAGGGGGAAGTGGCCAGCGGCTATCTTTAGCGCCTTCGCTCACAGCCTCCTCCTCTGCCTGGCCGAGGGGGACTTGGCGGGGAGGGCCAGGGAGGCAGCCCTGCACCCCCTTCTGTGGAGAAAGCAGGGGCCATGAGGTGTCCTGAGACCGGGGCAGAGAACACAGGGTGCTGCGGGGACCCCTCCCTCAGGCTCTCCAGGGAGGGGGGAGCAGGGGGTGCTCGGAGCCTGGGTTCGAATCCTGGCCTCCCTCTCCTGCAGTCTGCCCCGAGGGAACCATGCTTCATCTCTGTGCCTCAGTTTGGGCTCATTCAGTGAGAAAGACACCTAAGGAGCCTACTGTGTGTGATCTAGGGGGTGTCTCTGGACCAGTCAGGCCTCACTCTCCACCTGTGAAGTGGGAATGGCGGTCATTGGGACTGATGAGACAACTCTGAGTCTAGCACGAGGCGTGGCACATAGTAGGTGTTCAATAAATGAGTCAAGATATGCCTTCTGTCCCCTCATGGCACAGGGTGGGGGCGAGACGCTGCACCTCGGGCGAGTTACCTACCTCAGCCTCGGCTTCTTCCCGGCAAGCTGGACCGTGGAACCTGCCTGAGGGACAGCCCTGCAGTCTGGGTGCCTGGTGCAGCCATTCCCAGCTAGGTCCGCCTGTCCCTAGAGTGGCCTCAGTCAGCGTGAGGCTGGGCCCTGGAAGGTTCTGGATGCTTCCCCCCAACTGTACTCCAGAGAGCCTGTGGGTGCTCCCGTCCTGCCTCCCCTGGGTTTGGGGGCTTCCTCTCCGTGGTCCAGCCTGGGCTGCTGGGCCTGCTCCTGAGGGGAAGGGGAAGCTCTTTGGGCTCCTGGGAGCTGACCAGAGGCTGGGCCCAGKAAAGGACTGATACTGGGTGGGTGGGCAGTTGGGGGGCATTGCCTGGAGGACAGGGAGGCAGGGCTGGACCACGAGGCCTCTGCCGAGCAGCTGCCTGCCGAGAGCCATGGAGCAGGCGACGGCCCATTGCCCTGGCAAGGCCTCACCAGGCTCCAGGCTGGGAGCACTTTGGGGTGAGCCACCAGGTGCAGCCAGCTGGCCTCCACTCTGCCCCGGGGCCATCCCYTGTGAGCTCTGCAGACTCTGGCTCTGACGCACCTTTTAAGGCAACGCAACWGCGGCTCCTGCCACCACCTCCCTGTCCCCACTTGCTCAGAAATTCCCAGCAGGTTTTTTCTTTTCTGTTTTTCSTTTTCAGGGGGATTGGAATGAGACTCCGTGTTCTGTYGCCACAGATTCCAGAGGCAGGAGGTCTGGGAGTTCAGAACGTGACAGGAAGTGCACGCCATGCCACCTGGAGGGGCAAGGCACAGGAGCCAACGACCCACCCACTAGTCCCAGGGACTGCTGCAGGCCCGACCTGCCCAGGGCCCACTCCATTCCTCAATGAGCTCCAAGGCCAGGGCGCTGCCCCTCCTGGAGCTGAGGACAGGGAGGCCTCATCCTGCCCAGGGCTTTTGTGCTGCTGCTCTGCCTGGGTGTTGTCCCCACAGAGCTTCGCAGGCTGGATCCCCCCCCCAGGCCCGGGCCTTCCTCCTTTGGATCCCAGTGTCCTGTTTCTTCACAGTTTATCTCTTCTAAAGCCACCCACCCCCTTTATTGTTCATCATCTGCCTCCCGGAGTGGAACAGAGGCCCCTGGGAAGCTGGAGGTCCCTGCCATGTCCAGACAGCGGACTGTGCATCACAAAACCAAAACCCTGTGCCCCACCAGCRCTCTGCACTTGGCCTTCACAGCCCCAGCTGGACAGCGAACTTGGGGTCCCTTCTGAGGAACCATCCTGGCAGAAGGCCTGCCTTCCAGAAGCTGGGACTTGAGGAGACCTAGGCCTGGAACTGCTGTGGAATGTGACGTCACCAACAGGGGGGTCAGGGAAGGGATGGTCAGTAGTGAGGGCCCTGCCCTGCTCACCAAGGCTGCCAAAGGCACCCTGTAACTTGGACAGGTGGACCTGCGGGGAGGCAGCCTCCACTGACGGCCTGCAAGTGCCCTCAGCCTGGAAGCCACCCCAGGGGTCTTTGTTCTCGGGACCCCGCATCCAGACACAACCACAACTGGACACCTAGCCTTGGGCAGGGGATGAGGCGCAGCCATTGTTCCTCAGACCAGCAAAGCCTTCCTTCCCCAAATAGGAAAGGAGGTTCCAGAAGCCAAGGGTGGCMGCAATGGGAGGGGGTCCTGCCACAGCCCCAGCAGGCCTGGCTGAACCAGGAAGACCCAGAGGCCCCAGGGAAAAAAGGCCCTGGCCTTGGACAGTTTCTTGCCAAACTCCGCAACCCAAGGTACTGGTGACCTAGGGCCCGGAGCCCAACAGCCTTTGCTGTGCAGTGAAGTCCCTGGACTGTGGGATGAGATCTAACCCCCCCATACCTGCAGCACAACTGAGGGGCTCCCCCTGGCGGCCAAAGACTTAAGTGCAGTGAAGCTAGGACCCTCACCCACAGCTGGGCTCGCAGGATAACAGAACCTCAAGGTAGAGCCACCTGCAGCCTCATCCCCACTCACAGGTCACCCACTAGGCTGCCTGCAGTTCACAGGTCTCAGCAATTAAATCATGTAATGGGGAGTTTAGCCTGAAGGCCACCTCATTTGAGAGCTACCAGGACCCAAGTAAGAGGGGCTGAGCAAGGTAGGACTCCCTCCTGTTAACAGAAATGGCTCATAATCTGGGGGGCAAGTTCCTACAAGGGGTAGAGGTGGCACTCAACCCAAAACCCAGCTTTAACATCAAGGTCTGTCCCAAAGGGAAAGACCTCAGCCCAGAATGGTCACTTTTAAGGACCTGGGTGCTGCTGCACCTCTAGGCCATATCATGCCTTTATAGAACCCTTCTAATTACTCCAGAAGCCATGAGGCACCACTCCTGCGTGACATGGCCTCTCCCACTGCCATTCTTGGWTAAGGAACCTGAGCAAGCCACAACTGGAAGGCRMCCTGCGTGGATTAGCAGGATCACTRTGCACTGGATGGACCTCGTTTTGCCTCAGGCACCAGAACATCAAGTGCTCCTCTCTCCAAAGCCCTGGCATCACCCAAGCTGTGCAAACAGAACAGACTTCCATAGCTAAGGCTCAGCTGCCTCACCCTGGTGACAAACATTGACACAGAACACTCCCCCCTACACACACACAGGCTGGCTTTCCCAGCTGTGGCCTTAGCTTCCCCCTCACATCTTGTCTGCTCCAGAGATGGGGCCAGGTAGGCAGAAGGTCAGAGGCGACCAAAGCCCCAGAGAGTGGCAGAGGCCCCTCTGGCCTCTGTGCACACAGGCCTTTGTCTCTGAAGCCTTGCTACTCCCAAGAAAAAAACAGAGGCAAATGTCACTAAAAAGCTTTATTGGCCACAGCCAGCTGCTTAGGATCCAGACATCAAGCACCTTCCTCCTTGGCAATGCGGTCTTTCTTAAGTGGTCCCTGTGGAGACAGGAAGGCCAGAGATGAAGCAGGGGGCGGCAGGAGTAAGCACTCCCTAGGGGACCAAGGAGGGGAGCACCCAGGATGGGCCGCCACCACAGCCCTAACCCCAGAGCGAGGTAGCTGGCAAAAGGGCTCACCATGAATGCTTTCTTCTCCTCCATGGTCTGGAAGCGGCCATGGCCAAACTTGGAGGTGGTGTCGATGAACTTAAGGTCAATCTTCTCCAGAGCGCGCCGTTTGGTCTGTACCAGCAAGGACTGTGGCAAGGGGGAGGGGGCTGTGACTTAGAGGCTCCCCAGCATCTCAGCTCAAGGCCCACTGAGGCCAAGAACCCACACAGCACCATCTAGTGGCCCAAGATCTAAACCTGTCCCATCAGGCAGAGGAGCAAGAGGACCCTGAGARCAGGATGCCCATGAACACAGGAGCCCAACTAGCCAGACTAGGAATTTCCTCCTCCAGACTTCAAAGCTGGTGTCAAAGGGAAACCAAYGCCCTCCCCTCCCTCAACCCTCCCACCCTGGCTCAGCACCAAAGGCTGAGCCTGTGATTCTCCACAGGGGTGAGATCCTGAAAGGATGCAGGAGGTCACCCAGTCTTACCTTGCGGAGAGTGAGCACCCGCTTCTTGGTCCCCACCACACAGCCTTTCAGCATGACGAAGTCATTGGTCACTTCACCATAGTGGACAAAACCACCCTGGGGAAAAAGCAAGGCCACRGGGTCAGCAGATTAAGCATGGAGGCAGCTGCCCTGCAGACCYGTGAGCTCTGCAGATATGGCAGACCTTTGGGGTCAGGTTGTCCCTGGCCATCTGACTGCAGGGTTTCTCAGAAGGAAGACAACAGGGAATGGTTCCTTGTCTGACTCCAGCGCCCGGTAAACATTCTAGGCCTGATCACAGAACAGCTGGGCCTGAACCCCTACCTTTTTAGSCAGCCCCATCTAGAGGGCCTAGACACATGACTTGCAAGGCACACAACAGGGTGCTGTGCAGGGGCCAATGATTGACTGCACCCAGCAGGCCCCTCACCCCAAGCCAAGGCCCGGGCAGCTCCATAGGGTACCAGGGCATCTTTGCAGGTGGAGGCAGTCCAGCACTCACCAGAGGGTTGATGCTCTTGTCAGACAGGTCGTAGTCAGTGGAAGCATTATTCTTGATTAGTTTGCCATCCTTGATGAGGTAGCCCTGGCCAATCTTATAGATCTGAAAGAGATGCGTGAGGATCAGCACCTGGGAAGACAGGTCTGAGTGCCTCGGGGTGGGGTGTCAAGGCGGAGTCCCCAAATAGGACAGAGTCCACCCTCTGCAAAAAAATATAAATAAATAAATCACTAGGGGCAAGATTAGAGCACTTGGGTCTGATCCTCAGCACCACCTAAAAATAAGTAAATAAAATAAAGGTACTGTATYCGTATTCATCTATAAAGCTCAGGCAGGAGGATCTCAAGTCCAAAGGAGTCTCAGCAACTTGGTGAGAACCTGTCTCAGAAGACTGGGGATGTATGTAGSTCAGTAGTCAAGCACCAAGCACCCCGGACTCAGGCCCTATGCCAAACAAAAGGACACTACTAGAGAAAATGCCCAGGTGCCCAGGGCAGGCCTATAAACAGAGGGCCACTGCTCATCACACCAAGAGTCGTCCTTCCTGGAACCACCTGATGGCATCCTGCAATTATCCTGACCCAAGAACCAGAACCATCCAAGACCAGTGAAGATCTGAGGCCCACTGACACACAACACAGGCTGCCACCCAAACAGCGACATGGACTACAGCCCCTCAGGGTTTCTCACCTTCTTGTTGATCTCGGTGCGGTGATGGTAGCCTTTCTGGCCAGCCCGAGCCACAGAGAAGGCCACACGGGCAGGATGCCAGGCTCCAATACAGGCAACCTTCCGCAGCCCTCGGTGGGTCTTGCGGGGAAGCTTCTTGGTGTGCCAGCGACTGGTGACCCCTGGGGAGAACAAGCACTGCTACAGAGGCCTGGCACTCACACCACTGGCCCTTTCCTGCTGGGAGTGCCCAAGGGCAAAACCCCAGCCAGGCTGACCACAGGGCTGTTCTCAGAAGGAAGGCAACAGGGAATGGTTCCTCAGTCTGACTCGGGCGCTGTGCCCAGCGCACATTCCAGGCTTCATCACAGAACAGCTGGGCCTGACGCCACCTCCCCCSAGGCTCAGCACAACAACGTGAGCCTCTGCACAGCTTACCTTTGTAGCCTTTGCCCTTGGTCACTCCTATGACGTCAATCATCTCATCCTGCCCAAACACCTGGTTCACTGGGACCTGCTGCTCTAGCCTCTCCCGGGCCCAGTCCAGTTTCTCAGCCACGGTGCCTCCATTCACCTGGATCTCCATCAGGTGGGCTTTCTTCTGGCGCAGAGGAAGCAGCCGCATCTAGGAAAGAGCAGGCACAGCTCAGCTCAGGCCCGGAGTCCCTCTGGTAGATCAACGGAGGCTGACAGCCCTGTCCCCGTTACTGTCTTTTTAGCCAGTTCATCTACCCTTRCTCTACTAACAAAGTTGATTTGGACAGGAAGGCCTGGTAAAGAGCAGGCAGCAGGAGTGTGGCTCAGTATAGGAGTAGCTGGCTAGTGCGCAAGGCCCTGGGTTCCATCCCCAGTGCCAAAAAAACAAACAAAAACCTACACAAGGTGTTAAGGGTTAGAAAAAAATGCACCGAAGCACAAGCTGAGGGTTGCTGGTAAAGGTGCTTATCCTGTACCCCAGCTAAGCTTGGCCTCACATTCCTATAGTCCTAGTTACTCCTTATGGCAGGAGATCCCATGTTCAWGGTTAGCCTGGGGAACTTAGCCAAGACACTGTCTCCAAGAGAGCTGGGGATGTGGCTCTGTGGTAGTCTCCTGGTTCAATCCCAGTACAAAAAAAAACCCTCTACCATCCATCCATTCACCCATCTAGTGATCTCTAACCTCACAGGGCTATAGAGGCCCTGAAGCTAGGAYCGCACTAGACAAGAGGTGCCTATTTTACCAAGCCAACAAAAGGCCCACTCAGTTCACATCAATGCAGCATTTCACAACTAACTTAACCAGTTGGGTCAACAAATTTGAAAGGGRATTTCCCAAATGAGGTATGGTTTCCTCACTCGCAGTGAGGACACAGTGCCCTCTGCTGGAAAGAGAGAGACCTACGCATATAGGGACCCKCCTGAGGATACCATATGTCCTTGARGGGMCCTCATAAGGAATCTGAGTCTTAAACTCAACCAATCCTGGTTRGGCACAAAACCCTTGTGAGCTTACATCTGAGCAGCACTTTTCTGGAAGACTCAAACCCTTCYGTGCTTGCCCACCATGCAAGGGGCCCAGGGTTCAATCCCCAGCATGAAAAATAAAGTCTTACTTGATCAGGTACATCACCAACAAGATGACACAGCACATGCTTACCTGGGTGTGGGCGATAATACGGATGACCTGGCAATATTTCTTCATGCTRTTGAAGTCCTTCTCCAGTTGCTTCTTGCCCATGTCATCCTGCCACTTCTTGCAGTATTTGGTAAAGGCCTTCTTCTTAGATTTATGCCTTCAGGAGCAGAGCAGAGTTGGGGAAGGGGCCGGGCGCAGACCTTCATCACCCTCGAGGGGTGAGCGGAAGGCATACTGGCACCACCAGGGGATGGGGCTCATTGCCGGCTTCTAAGGAGCCTTTTCCACCGGCAAGCGGAGCCTGGATGAAGCTCATCGGGCAGAGCCGAGCGGAGCTAAGCAGAGGTCCAACAAGGTTAATATAAGTCACGGGTATTCAAAACACTATTCTTGCTCCAGGGTACCAGAAAGCTCCYTCTCTTTACCTTAGCAGGTACTATTCTCAGTTACTATTAAGAAACCAGGGTGCTAAGCCAGGGCTAGAACCCAACACTACCACTGCCTTATCTTTCCTGTTTTGGGGAGTTACAAACAGCCAAAGGAACACAGTCAACCAATTGGACTAGGCTRACCAGAATTAAGATGCTAGTTCTTAGATCAAGAACCAGTGCTGCTAAAGTTGACCTCCAGGTTTGGTTCTATTTAAAAGGCCAACTTAAAAAGGAGACAACAGCTTCCCACCACTAGAATTCAGGCTCTGTACAGGGTCTCCCTGCTCTGCAGCCCAATGCTGGAACTGCATGTTCTGGCTCTTACCAGTTCTTATAGAAGCGCCTTTTGCACTCATCACTGATATGCTCAGCAAAGATGGTCTTGAAGGTTCGGAGGCCTCTAGGGGTTTCCACGTAGCCCACAATGCCTACAACCACCATGGGCGGTGTCTCCACTATGGTCACAGCCTCCACAACCTCCTTCTTGTTCACCTCTGAAGGCAGAAAATAGGACAGGAGTGAGCTGACACGAATGCAGACACWAGGTGGCCACACACAACCTTCTCCTTCAAGTGTTTACATTTAACTTAAACCCAACATCAGGACTCTAATACGGCTTCAGTTCTCTCTAGAAACCTAAGCAATCTCTAGGAACAGACAAATCTGTGGCCTGGACAAGAGTCCCAAGTACAATGGTRTGTAATAACAGATCTAAATTTACTCAGGTAGACAATATAAACTAAGTGCTAAAAGCTAGTGCTGTGGGCCAACCAAGTGTAAATAAAGGCAGTGTATATTCCAGCCTTGATAGTGAAAGGTCACCAAGTTATCACTATGTTGTGGCTCTTCACAAATTTACTCAGCATGTTCCATGCCTCCATAAGTAYACTTAAACATCAGTCCTAAAATTCAACACTCCCATCCCCCAACTTAGACRACACAGTAGCATGTACGTACTGGATCCTGGCCTATCAACTTCCCGGACAATGTGAGTCATGCCAGCCTTATAGCCCAAAAASGCTGTGAGGTGGACAGGCTTTGAAGGGTCATCCTTTGGGAAGCTCTTCACCTTCCCTCGATGCCTGCTGCTACGCTTTCGAGGCAAGAAGCCTAAGGATCCATGTCTGGGAGCGGAGAATTTCCTGTGAGACTGGGGGGGAAAAAATTTTATATATATATATATATATATATATATATCAGCACCCAAACAAGAGGCAGCTCTCATTTCACTGCTTCCCAATACTCAACCATGAGTTTCTCTTTTTTGGTACCAAGGATTGAACCCACATCCCCAGCATTTTCATTTTTTATCCCAAGAAAGGGTGGAAGTTGCTCAGGGTCTCGCTAAGACACGGAGGCTGCCCTAGAACTTTTGCTCCTCCTGTGTCAGCCTCCAGAGTGGCTGGGATTACMAATGTGCCCCAGCACACTCATCCCACAATGTTGACTCTTAACTAGACACCCAGCAAGRCCAGGATCACCCACAACACACTGCCTCCTTCTGAATGTTGATTGGGAACTATTTTTACAAGAAACAARGTCATCCTATGTGCTCTAAGAGAACTAGAATATTAAAAACCATGTTAACAGATGATTTGTCATCAAGATTCTCACCAGTGGAGCGACTCATGGGACAACAGCTGGTCACTAATAATGGTACCATAGTACTCTCCGGCCCCTGGGACAGAGCCAGCGTGGTACACAGTAGGCCAACAGGACTCACAGAGCCAAATCAGAACATGACAATCAGCACACAGATTCTGTCCGCCCGTCAATAAGTTCATCATGTGAGGTTTCTGGCGAGTCTAGAGGCCTTCAAGTTGCACCAAGGTATTTCCAAAGGGACCCTTTAAAACTCTTGCCAATAGACTCCCCTCGCGCATGCGCAGGCCCCCGTTTACCAGAACACCGGGCGTCCCACTCAAGGCCCTCCTGGCCCGGCAAATTGCTCTTGAGGATTAATAACAACTATCGCTAAAATCTGGCGAGGTCGGAGCCCAGAAACCATGTACGGCTTCAATTGGGCGTCCAGGCCAGCTTTCGCCCCAAGGCCGCTCGGTGGCCGACTCGAAATCCCAGGGTATTCCTCCATAACTCCCTTCCCCACAGGCCTCGCGAGTTTCCAGAAAAATAGGCCTCACTGCAGTCCCTACTGTATCCCCTGCGCTCTCAGAACGAGCTCCCGGGACCGGCCAAGCCGAGATGGCGACGATGCGCGGCGGATTCCACCACGCCGACTTTGAAGCCWAGAGCAAAGACGCCATTAAGAAACTCACCATCGCGCCGCCAAATCCCGCCGGTAGAGGCCGATTGGGCCTTGGTACACGATATATAAAGAGCCTCTTGTCTCCGCCCCTTCCGGCGTGCGAGCGCGCGCCCGCGGCGGACGTCGGGTTGGAGGGGCGTACGGGGCGCCACTTCCACGCACGCTTTCCCACACCTAGCGTAAATTCTGAGAGGACGCAGGTTTCAGAAAAAAAAAAAAAAAAAAAAAATCTACTTAGAGGCCCTACGGCGAGCGGAAGAGTTCAGACTCATTAAAAAGATACTGAAACGCTGGGTGACCGCGCAGACTGCGACAGGTCTACGGTGTTCTGCAGCAGCCAAACTTTATGAGAGAGAAAAATGGCTGTAGTCGTCGGGGGTTGAATAACCCCGCTGTAGGCTTCTTTCACATGTGATAGCCAGTTTTAAGCCTAACCACATGGGCGTTGTTGCCATTTTGTTTCGGAGTTGAAGAAGCAGCTCGATGGGGTGAGCTAGTTGCACGGCTTTCGCGAGCTCCCTCAAGCCCTGCCTGGGTCGTTCTGGTATCCAGCTGCAGGGTTCCGCGTCCCGAGCCCGCGCCACGACCTCGGGTCCTGCCCTCCAGATCTTCCCAGGAACCTGAGGTTCCGCATTACCCCCGAGGCTGCCGCCTGGCCTCGCTCGTGCCCCGACCTCCTCCTTCCCACCCGGGCGTCGTGATCCTGGGCACGGCCTTGGCACCCACGGTGGGGTGAAAACCATTCTCTCATTTAACCCTCACAGCGTCCCTGAGAGGCAGCATTTGATAGGTCCTCAATCTATTACTGGAAATCGTTGGAGTCAGTGGTGTTTTGAAATCCAGCACATTTTGGATCTTTCCAAAATGGAAACATGAGGCCAGGCGCGAGGGCGCATGCCTATAATCCTAGACTGCAGAGGCTGAGGGAGGCCGAGGCAGGAGGATCGCGAGTTCAAAGCCAGCCAGTGCCCCTGGGTTCAAKCCCCAGTACCCAGGGGAAAAAGAAAGAAAGTTAATATGATGCACATACTGTGTACTGTGTTATTTATCCTCTCTGCACTCTACAGAGAAATGTGACTCCCTATAGTTGCTTTTTATCTGAGGGAGATAATATTCCAAGACATTCCTCTCCCTTGTCTGAGGCTGCAGATAGCACTGAATGCTGTATACACCATGTTTTTCATCTACATATGATACACACACACACACATACACACACAAACACATCCCTTTGGTGATGTTTAACATCAATTGAGCATTGTGAGATTATCAACCCTAGCAAGTAATATAATAGAACAACTATTGCTTCGGGAGGTGGGGAGCACCTATGGTGCCCTCAGAGGCTGGTGCAGGAGGAGCACAAGCTTGAGGCCAGCCTGGGCAGCTTATTGAGATCCTGTCTCAAAAAATAAAAAGCGTTTGGATTTTAGTTCAGTGGTAGAGCCCCCATGGGTGGTTCAATCCCCAGTCTTGTTATTTGGGTAAATAGCAGGGGAAAAAAAAAGTGTGTGTGTGTGTGTGTGTGTGTGTGTGTATGTGTGTGTGTGTGTGTGTGCGCGCGCGCTAGCGCGTGCTGTATATACACTATAGTAAAGACCACTTAAAACTTACCAATTTTTGAATCCCATTTCCCCTGAGATTAGGGAGGGTAGAGATTAGGGAGGAGCTGGGAGAGAGAAGAAAAGAAAGAACCAAGTCCATTCTAAAAGTAAATTGGAGTTAGTCCGAGGACGGTTCTAGAAAGGCAGCGGCAGCGCCCGGTCCTGTGTGGAGGTGCTCTTCAGCGGCAGTTCTCACTACAGCGCCAGGACGAGTCCGGTTCGCGTTTGTCTGCGGAGATCTTTCTTATCTCACTTGCCTGCGAGAAATGGGGCTGAAGCGACTGAGTCCGCGATGGAGAGAGAAAAGGTACAGTTCCGTAAACTCTTTATTGGTGGCTTAAGTTTTAAAACCACAGAAGAAAGTTTAAGAAACTACTTCGAGCAATGGGGAAAACTTACAGATTGTGTGGTTATCAGGGATCCTGCAAGCAAAAGATGAAGAGGATTTGGATTTGTAACCTTCTCATCCAAGGCTGAGGTTGATGCTGCCATCTCTGCAAGACCTCATTCCATTAATGGGAGAGTGGTTGAGCCAAAAGGAGCTGTAGCAAGAGAGGAATCTGGAAAACCAGGGGCTCATGTGACTGTGAAGAAGCTGTTTGTTGGCGGAATTAAAGAAGATACCGAGGAACACCACCTTAGACATTACTTTGAAGAATATGGGAAAATTGACACCATTGAGATAATTACGGATAGGCAGTCTGGAAAGAAAAGAGGCTTTGGTTTTGTTACTTTTGATGACCATGATCCTGTGGACAAAATGGTATTGCAAAAATACCACACCATCAATGGTCACAATGCAGAAGTGAGAAAGGCTTTGTCTAGACAAGAAATGCAAAAAGTCCAAAGTTCCAGGAGTGGAAGAGGAGGGCAACTTTAGAGGAAGATCTGATGGATATGGAAGCGGAGGTGGATTGGGGGATAGCTCTAATGGATCTGGAGGAGGACCTGGAAGTGGTGATTTGGGAGATAGCCCTGGTTATGGAGGAGGAAGAGGAGGCTGTGGTGGTAGAGGATCTGGATATGGAAACGGGGTGGGGGCTATGGAGGTGGTTATGACAACTAAGGAGGAGGAAATTATGGAAGTGGAAGTTATAATGATTTTGGAAATTATAACCAGCAACCTTCTAAATATAGTCTAATGAAGAGTGGAGACTTGGGTGGCAGAAACATGGGTGACGTGGTAGAGGAAATTATGGTCCTGGAGGAAGTGAGGGTTATGGTGGGAGGAGCCGATACTGAGCTTCGAACCCGGCCCGCACGCATGCTCATTGTATAAATAGGAGAGGATGAGAGCCCAAAGGTAACCCAACAGCTTCAGGTTATCGAAATAACAGTGTTAAGGAAATTCTTATCTCAGTCATACATAAATATGCAATGATATGGCAGAAGACACCAGAGCAGATTCAGAGAGCCATTTTGGAAATGGATTAGATTATTTAATAACATTACCTTACTGTGGGGGAAGGATTGTAAAAAATAAAAATAATGAAAGCCTTTGAGACAGTTTCTTAGCTTTTTTTTTTTTTTAAAGAGAGAGTGAGAGAGGAGAGAGAGAGAGAATTTTTAATATTTATTTTTTTGGTTCTCGGCGGACGCAACATCTTTGTTTGTATGTGGTGCTGAGGATTGAACCTGGGCCGCACGCATGCCAGGCGAGCGCGCTACCGCTTGAGCCACATCCCCAGCCCGGTTTCTTAGCTTTTTAATTGTTTCTTTCTAGCAGTCTTTGTAAGAGTGTAGAAGCATTCCTTCTTTGATATGTTAAATTTGTAAGTTTCAGGTGACATGTGAAAACTTTAAGATTTTTCTCAAAGTTTTGAAAAGCTATTAGCCAGGATCATGATGTACTAAGACATAATGTTTTCCTTTAAAAAATTTAAGTGCATGTGTAGAGTTTTTTTTTTTTTTAAGAGAGAGAGAGAAAGAATTTTTAATATTTATTTTTTAGTTTTCGGCAGACACAACATCTTTGTTTGTATGTGGTGCTGAGGATCGAACCCGGGCCGCACGCATGCTAGGCAAGCACACTACAGCTTGAGCCACATCCCCAGCCCCATGTGTAAAGAAGCTGTTGTACATTTATGATTTAATAAAATCTAAAGAAAAAAATTAAATAAAAAAATTAAATAAAAAAAACTTATGAATTTTTAGTGCTGGCAGTATATCTTATTGGTAAAGCATGTGCTTTAACATACACAACGCTCTGAATTCAGTACCCAGCACCAAAACATCAACAACAAAATCTTATTAATTGTTTATTTCTGGAATTTTCCATTTAAT